AGATTAGGGTGGTACTTACATGGATATTGAGAGAGAGCTGCGAGAATATAACAACTGCTTGAGAGAGAGCTTGGAGAATCTACGTACCCAATGCTTTGAGAGAGAGCTGAGAGAATATAACAAAACCTTGAGAGAGAGCTGAGAGAATTAGGGTTAAAGGGACTAGAGTTGTACTTACATGGATATTCAGACAGAGCTGGGAGAGAGCTTGAGAGAGAGCGAAAACTTTCAGACAAATTTATGTTGAAGAGAGAGAATGAACTATTTGAGGGTTAAAGGGAAATTCTGAAAATTTTAGGTCGCGGTCAAAAATTTTAAAGTACCGCGTTTTTCAACGACGATGGTCAATACTTACATGGACGTCTAATTCTTACTTACAACGTCGGTTTCTATACAAGACCGACATTGTAAACATAACGGACGTCGCTATTTAATAATCGACGTCGTAAACCGAATACAATTAGTCTTCGTTTATGTAGTTGACCAAAAACAGCGGGAGAAAACCGGCGTCGTTTCAAAAAACCCCAAACCCTAAACCCTAAATTTTACAATAATTTTAAAAAAATACACAAGTATGAGAAAAATGAACCGAAAATTGCTATGGACTCCTTGCAACAATGCCTTCTACAATAGTAGGCTAAAATATGGATTTTCATAATTTTGAATATATGGGCACCAATGGATCACATAAACTTTAGGGTTATGTTATGTAAAGTATAAGGAGTACCATGCTTTGTCACTAAATTTGTTTGAATTTTTTTTATCATTTGAACATTGAAAACTAAAATTACATTTTTCAGGCCTTAACGGGCAAGATATTGTCTCAATCAGTGCATAGAATTTGCCGGTATATTTTTCGGATTTTATTTTGAATATATTATTAATATTAGTAATTAAATACAATAAAAAAATATTTCTAAAATTATATTTTTTTAAAGCTTTAGGATAGAGACAATTTTTCAATGCTTGGTAGTTTTCAGTTTAATTTTTGGATTTAGTTTTGAATTTAATATGGAATTAAATAAAATATAAAAGTCATTAAAAATTAAATGAAAAATGACCTATCCGACGTTGTATCCTTTTACAACGACGTTAAACATCACAAACTGAGGTCATAAAATTATTAGACGTCGAAACTAATAGAAAACGACGTCTTTTTTTGGATAACCGACGTGGATTATCGTATTACCACGTCATTGTAGTGTATATAACCGACGTTGTTTAACTATACAAAGGCGGATGTTTAAGAATATCCGCCTTTGTATATTATTAAGACGTCGATAAGGTTATACGAACCGACGTAGTATATAAGTACAAAATTCATTTATACAAGATGAATTAATTATAAACCGTCGTTTTTATGACTATTACACGTCATTTTAATGTATATAACCGACGTTGTTTATCTATACAAAGGCGGATGTTTAAGAATATCTGCCTTTGTATATTATTAAGACGTCGATAAGGTTATACTAACCGACGTAGTATATAAGTACAAAATTCATTTATACAAGATGAATTAATTATAAACCGTCGTTTTTATGACTATTACATGTCGTTTTTAAGAATTGCCGTCGATGTTATATTTCCAGTTACAGCAAGACGACCATTATGTACACGTATGAGACGTGTAAATTAGAATCAGACGTCGGTGTTTGGGAACTAAACAAGTTTTAAAACAAAATTAAATTTTTTTGATGTTTGTTCGCTTGATTACAACAAAATATTTATGTACATTTTAAATAAACTAAAATAAACCTAAACATTGTTCATAAATATTTATGTACATCAATTATCCTTCGGTAAGAAGTTGTTCACGAATTCTGCCCATTCATGCCTAACTTCGTCAATATCCTCTTGTTTATACTGAACTTTATCTTTTTTCTTCTCAAACTGCAAAATAAACCAAAAAACCGACGTGTTATAAAGATACAAACGACGGTTTTAAACAAAAATCTGACGTAGTAAAATAAAGAAAGTATATCTAAAATGTTGTGTTTTACCTTCTTCTCGAAATTTAGGTCTGGATCATGAATTATATCTTTCATGAATCGCATCACGTAATAGCCACACTCTACACTTGTTGGTTGTTCAGGAGTGCCGTGTAGATTTTTCCAAATGGCCTGCTGTTTACGTGAATTTTTGTTTATATGAATGTTAAACATTTTAATTGACTTGTTACAAGAAAACAAAGGGTGTTAATGACAAAACAAAAAATTTAAATACAAATAGTAACCGTCGTGGTAAATCAGTCAAAATGACGGAGTTTTTAAAATCAAGACGTGATATTTTGTTTCAAACAGCGGTAAAAACTTACCGTCGTTGTGTAACATTATAATGTCGGTAAGAGTAAAACGTCGTATAACAAAAAATTGAGCAGAAAAAATTAAAACGTTCTTAAATCAAACCCAAACGACGTGGTAGTTAAATTAAAACGACGTTTTTAAGAAAATACTTACGTAATAAAGTATTTAACACGTCGGTAATAACTTACCGTCGTTATAATTTCATTATAATGTCGGTATTATTAAAAACCGTCGTATATTTAAATATTTTGAAGGAAAAATCTTAAATCAGAAGAAATCAACTTACGTATACACTATATTTTTCATGTCGTCGTCAACCATGCGTTTTGGCAGTGAATTCATGTAATAGGCAGTCTCTGTTGCTGGTCTCACAATTACCATCACCCAATGACCCCTGCACATAATGATTCATATAGGTTAAATAGTACTACAAAGAAAAATATTACAAGCTTAGGAAAATAGTTTAAATGGTACTAACCCTGGATTATAAGGGACCAAGAAAAATTGATTCCCATATGCTGTTTTCAGGCGGTTTGACAAGTTTTTTATTCGGTCTGATAATGATTCAGATTCAAAGCTCACTAGCCCAGGGTCCACGAGGCCAACAAGGTTTACCATATTGCCATTTTTAAATAGTCAAATAGGAACCTAAATATATGAAAGTCAATTAAATGAGATTTTAATTTAAAAGAAAGGGAAATGTAAAACAAAATGGGATTTCTAGAATTACCTCATGTATACT